AGATTCTTTGCCGACGCCGACACTGGTGCCGCCTCCTACCAGCAAAAAAAAGAAAGAAAGAAAGAAAAAAGAAAAACACAAACAACAACCTCTTTCACGCTTCTGGGTCTCCAAACCTGCGATGTGTGGTGTGGGTCCTGCCAGGTACGCTTATGCGGCGACACTGGCCCGAGGGCGAGCGATGGCCCCCCTCCGCGCCCAGCGTCCGCTAGAGGGCGCCCTGGGGACTGCTGGGTGGTGTGAAGTTTGGTGCTGCTCCCCACAAGCTCTGGAATGGGAACCCGAGGGGGCGGTGGGCATGCTGGCTCAGGAGCTGGGGCGGGGGATCTTCTCCGGGGACCGAAGACAGAATTCACATCACAGCCTCAAATTAACCCTGGGAATAAAAATTCAGCAGGGGAGGATTTTCCAGAAAGCAGTTTTCGGGAGTTCAGCCCACTTCCAGGTGGTCCAGTTCCGCCTAGAATGTGGCCCCCCCAACTCATGGGTCATGGGGGGGGGTGTCTGATCGCTCCCTGGGGATGAAAAGATGTGATTGAGGTAAACAATGGATTTGTTCTTGCTCACGTTGGCATGGATGTGGGTGGTTGGGGCTAACCAGAGCCAGCTTTACAAAGGATGGGAAGTTTTGCAATCTGTCCTTAAACAGGCAGTGAGGGTGCTGCAGACACCTGAGAACCAGCTTAAGCGGCACTTAGACGGGCATCTCTCCGACGCAGGGGCTGAGGGCTTGGGACTCTGCCTTCTTCCCAGATGCCACACCACTGAGGATAATGGGTTGGAAAGGAGAGGAAAGGTGCTTAGGAGTTTGGAATGCGGAAAGCTGGCCCCATTGCTTCTATGGGATTTGATAGGCACCTTACTGTGCCTTCGATTTGCCATTGTGTCTTCAGTTTATGCCATTACCTCTCTCCCCGACAGATGTCAGGGGACTAAGTGAGATGTGGGCAGGACAGCTAGCCTCTCTGGGATTCAGCTTTGCCATCTGTACAATAGGAATAATAACCTTTTACCATCAGAGATCTGAGACTAAAAAAAAGAAGATTCTGCATATTTCAAAGTGTGCTAGAAATGGAAGTAATTCAGTCCAGTTCTCCCTTCCAGTTCTATTAGGAGAGCAGTTGCAAGGAGGAAGTCTTGTTACTTCTGCAGAGGGGAAATTGATTTATTCATCACATTTCGCAGATAGTGGGCTCTATGTACTAGACACCGTGCTGGGCATCGAAATATAATGACGAATAAGACCCAGTCTTTGCCCTCAGGATACCTGTGAGCTAAAGAAACGGATTCTCCTTCTCTCTAGAATCAGGAGTTCATTCTTATTCTCATCCATTGATTGAGGCTGCACCGTGACTGTCTGCTTCTGTGCTGAGCCCTGCAGAGGACAAGGAACAGCCCTTGAGTTAATGGATGAGAAAATGCTTTGTAAATTATAAGGCTCTGACACAAGTCAGGTTCATTCATCCATTCCACAAACCCTCGTTGAGTGCCTGCTTTTGCCAGGCACGGGGCAAAGTGCTGGGAAGACAGATGTGCTGGGTGAATCCTGCAGGGACACAGGCGAAGCAAGAGACTTGGGGTCCCCAAGTGATGAGTGCCATGAGAAAGGGGTGTTTGTAATTACAATCCTAGAAGACCGTGGTAATTCATTTTGAGGGAGGAGAGGGAGTTTGAAGTAAGAGAGGGGAGAGGTAGGGGGAAAGAAACAGCCCTGGAGCTTGGGATTCCCAGTCTGGTTGGAGAGACTCATACCTCTGAAACAGGTAAGTCCTAATGTCAATGGTGTGGTACCCCAGGGAGCCTGGGCTCTGCTGAGGGCCAGCAGCAAAGGCTGCATGACTGGCAGGGAGCTTAGAGCGGGTCCAAGAGCACAGGGATGATTTGAAGAGCAGAGAGGAGGGGCGGGGGCAGCACACATGCCCAGACCGTGAAAGAAGCTGTCCTGTCGCAGAGAGGTAGCGAAGGGAGGTTGGGCTCCCTGCATACTCACTCCTGATACTGAACTGCTGTCCAGGCCCTACCACCTTGGTAGCGGTATGACTTTGGGCCGCTGACTTCCCCAGCTGTGCCTCGGTTTCCTTATTTGTAAAGTGGGCTGATAATAGTACCTGCTTCATCCGGTGGTTGTGAGGACTGATCTAATGCATGCAAGGTGCTTAGAATAGTGCTTAGAATAGGACTAAATGCTCAATGCACGTTAGCTATAATTATTTTGAAAGCACTGGGGTGTTTTTTATGGGGAGCTGATCGACTACAGCTTAGGCTACTACGGGATGGATATGACTATGAATGGCTTTATGTTTTGGACAGCTATATATCTCCTATATGAGATACATTCCAAAAAGCTCCTTGTCTTCAAACAGTTCACCCAGTCACCAAGTTTCCCTTTGGCTTTCTGGTATCCCCAGGAGTTTCCCATTGCCTTTGGGATGATCTGAACCTCTCAGTGAGTGTATACCTAAGGCTCTTTGTTCCATCTCAGCTTCATCAACTGCCTATGCCCCACTGACACTTCAAGCTCCAGCTCCATGGAGCTCCAGGCTGTGCCCAGATTGTTCCCTAGGCCTGGGTCTTTGCATGTCCGGTTTCCTCTGGGTGGAACTGCCTTCCACGCCTTGGCTGATTTCTACTTTTCCTTTAAGATTAGGCAGAGACACAGGCTAAACTTTTAGGATAGCTCTTTCTGTGCTGACCAACACACTCTGACTACTTGTCCGGTAGTAACCTAAAGGAAAAGGACTGTATTTGATTATTTTTCCTTCATAAGCCTAGAAAGTACTCAGTACATCTTTACATAAAGGATTGTGTTAACTTCTGTTTTCCATCGTTTTTAGATACCGCCGACTCTTTTCTTCTAGAGTAGCTTTTGTTTTTTTCCTGCAGGGCTCAGGAGCAACTGTATAGTTGGGAAAGAGGTTCTAGAAGCCCCTGTGTGGTTGGTGGAAACTACTTGGCCTGCTACTCTGAAGACAAAGTGAGTGAAGACTCAAATTTTGCTAGGAGAGTCAGGGAGGAGACATCAGGCCAATACAGGGCACACTCCCAGGGAGCCACTTCCAGGCAAGAGAGATGCCCAGACCTAAGGCAACTTACGTGTCTGCTGGGGACTCCTGGGGAGAGAAACTCTGTCCAGGTCTGCTCCCTGCTCTCGGCCCCTCCCTGCTGCTTTGCTGGCTAAGGGGTTTAGGAGCCTCCTGCCTTTTCCTAATCTCTCCCTTTGCCGAATTTCTTGCGAAGTCAGAATCCCATTTCCAGGCAAAGGTACTTGGTCATAAAGATAAAGATATTCATTCATGACGGAGGGGAAGTACACAGTGGTTTCAGCTGCCTGTGGGGCTTCACTTACTCATGGTATGTGACAGATGGTGACTCTTCCCCAGACCTCCTGGATGGGAACGCCGGCGCCAGGGGGCTGGTCGCAGGAAGCAATGGCATGGCTCAGCGAACACAGGGTCCCACGTTGGCATGCATGATCTCCTCGCCCTCCAGAGGCTGGGCTGGGAGGCGGGCACTAACGTCGCCATTGTGTTGTTGGGTGGTTGCATCTG